AGCTGAAGCAGGCCAATGTCCACCAAGCGGAAGGAATCAATAAGCTGATATAGGGTTAGGAAGTCGGTGTAGGAACCTGTCATAACTTTTCTCCTCCATATCACAGGAAGATAAGAGCCAAATGTAATGCTCTCCCAGCTGAGACCTGGAGGCCTGTAGTGTACTGGTTAGAGCTCTTGCCTTGCAAGTGAGACGACCTGAGTTTGATTCCCAGGCGGGGTGAAACCTTAGGCAAGTTTCCTTACTCCTCATGTCTCTGTTCACCTAACAGTAAGAAGGAACCCGGTTGTTAGTTGAATTGGCGTATCGTTTTCCAGGGGGAATAATCCCTTCAAATTAATCGAATAAATAAAAATAAAATAATAATAATTTGGTCACTCAATCTACAACTGTTTGTGGGACATTGCTGTGTGCACTTGGTTGACGCGTTTTACCCATAAAATATACAGTCAATTCAATTTACAGTATATTTTTGTGAAGGGCTTTGAGACGTCTCAACAATGTGATAAGGCACTATATGAAATGTAAGGATTATTATTATTATCTAATGCTGAGTTAATCTGTGTCATCATTGGAGGGAAGAAGGTGGCCAAGTGGAAGTGCTGATAGCAAGCATCATTCTTCTAACAACTGCACCTTTTACCTTAGAAAGTGCTCCCTTCAGCTTTGGTTCCACTCATGCTGGACATTATTATTGTGCATTCTTTTCACAGTAATATGATTTCCTACCAGTAAATATCTCTGGTTGATGCTTTTACAGCAGAGAAAGAAGCTTTAATAATCTTACACAACGCAAGGAAAAAGAAAAATTATGAGGTCTGTTTTGTATTCTAGATACAGCATCCTTTCACTTGATAAATACAAATGTTATGTTAAAAAATGCTGGAAATCTACAATAAGTGGATTGCCATCTGAAAGAGAAAATAAGTTAACGTTTCAGATACGACACATCTTCAAAACATTATGAGCAGTTGTCTAAAGATGGCCAAGAGCTGTTTACAATGGTCATAAAAATAAGAGCTCAATCTCTTCCTGGAATAAAATACAAATGTGTTCTACTTTGGTGGGTGCTCAAGTTCAAGGTCAGAGGAAGTGGCAAGAGAAAGGCATTTTTGCTGACCTCTTGATAAGAAAGTCAATGTTCTTGCCTATCGTAGAACAAATTATCAAAGCATAATTAAGTAGACATAAAAGGGGATCTGTAATGTATGAATGCAGAGAACATCTCACTGAAAGCCCTATAGGGAACATTGGAACTTCCCACCGATTCAAAATTAGAGATGTTATAATAATAATAATAATCCTTGCATTTGATATAGCGCTTTTCACGTCGGGAGGACGTCCCAAAGCGCTTCACAGAACACACTGTAAAGTGAATTGACTGTATATTTGTGGGCGAACGCGGCAACCAATTGTGCACAGAGGTGTCCCACAAACAGTCGTGGCTTGAAAATGACCAATTTATTATTGTTTTGGAGGGATTATTATTTTTAGGCAAATGAGGCAGAAAATTTGCACCCATTAGTGTCCTTAAACAGCAGTGAAGTAAAATGATGAATTTTATCTGGGGACTTGATGGCAAAGCCATCAGGGGAAACTCCCTTCTCTTTTTCAGTAGTGCCAATGGAATCGTAACATCTATCTGAAAAGGCAGACAGAACCTCAGTGTAATGTTTCATCTGAAGGATGACAGCTCTGATAAGCACTGCAATGGAGTACCAGCCTAGACTATGAGCTCAAAGTGTCAATTTGGGGCTTGAACCAACAATCTCCCGATGTCCTTGCTAATAATACTCTGGATAAAATTGATCATCTGTTTCACACCTGCTCATGAGACATTGTTGTGTACAAAATAACTGTCATGTCTGTCTGCAAAATGCAGTCGTTGCACCATACAATACATCCTGCGAGGAGCTTTAAGACATTTCTATGACATTGTAAGATGCTATATTGTGGAGTCCTGTAGCTCAGTGGTTAGAGCACTCGCCTCGCAAGCGAGAGACCTGGTTTTGATTCCCAGCAGGGCGAAACCTTAAGCAAGTTTAAAACAGAAACAGAAATCGCTGGGAACACTCAGCAGGTCAGGCAGCATCTATGGAGAAAGGAAAGTGAGTCAACGTTTCGGGTCCACAACCCTTTGTGAGAACTGGGGCAGGTTAGGAGGGAGAGGCTTTAAAGGGCTAACAGAGAAGGGGGAGGCAGGACAAGGAAGACAAAGGAGAAAATGGGGTAGAGGACAGGGGATGATGGGTTAAAGCGGTGTTCATGATGCAAAACAAAGTGGGGGATTGCAACAAAGTGGGGGAATAGAGGTGTTAATACTGCAAAACAAAGGGGGGAACAATTGCAACAAAATAGGCAGACCAGAGAGTGAGTAGGGTAAAATTGGTCACTTAATGCATGACTGTTTGTGGCTCACTTCTGTGCGCAATTGGCTGCCGCGTTTCTCCCACAAAATATAGTCAATTCACTTTGACTGTGAATACAGCGATAAGGTGCTGTATCAAATGCAAGGATCATTTATATCAAATGCAAGGATTATTTAAATAGCATTGGGATTTTCTTAATAATTGAGGAGGAAAAATATTATTTAAATTGATGTATGTTTTGTTTGGGGGAAAAAGCCTAGATAAATTATGGAGTAAAAAGAATCCTATTCCTGTCCTTTTGAATGTGCTATGTATATGTATAAATAGACATAATTATCTCACAAAACTACTTCACTAAAAATAAACTAGAAAGGGTTTTCCCATATGGTACTAAACATTTAGCTCCAGGTGGTATTTCAACCTCACAAGAGACACAACGTTTGTTCCGTTCACTGTTCACATGAATCTCCCAGGGAATCAACACTCCACATTTCTTGAGCTCTCATTATGTGTAACGTCTTTTGTAACCCGAGCGTACAAGACAGATGTCACTCTTTATTTCCTGATCCTCGACTAGGAATTCAACCCAGTCTATTTGAAAGCAGTAGCCACTTGCCCACAAATACACAGTTGCTGCACCTGCTTTAGTGCGATAAAATATCGTGAAATGTTTTGAGATGTGCTGACGTGCCTATCTTAAAGCGCTCTGAGAAGTCACCCGGCGTGGAGGGCGCTATATAAATCCAAGTTGTTGTTGTGAAAAGGCGCTATACAACAACTTGCGTTTATACAGCGGCCGTCACTTGGGGTAGCATCTCGGAGCGTTACATCAAACGCAAACCATCATTTTTATTATAAACTCCCCTCTCTTTTCGGGTCGTGCCAGCATACCTTCACCTGGACAGAAGGACAGGAACCTCGAGCTTCACGTTTCATCTGAAGGACGGCACCTCCGCACAACGCAGCGTCGCTCCCGCCAGCATCGCGCCGCTGCCAGAGTGCCAGCCCGGAAACCCGCGGGCTCTCAAAACGTCGACCAACACAATTCAAACGATCAGTTAATAACAATAATCATCCTTGCGTTTGATACAGCCCCTTATCGCATCTTCGAGACGTCCGAATTTACTGCAAAGCCAACGGACCGTACGATTTGTGGGCCGAACGCGGCAGCCAATCGCGCCCACGAACAGCGTCCCACAAACAGTTAGGTCTAGCTTGTGACAAAATTGGGCAACGCTTTTTGTTTAAAAAAAAAAGAAAACTCGTCGAGTGTTTTGAGTGATGTGCACGTTACCCCTTGTAATGGTCAGTCAGGTCAAGGGTTGCCAGAAGTCGACCAACCACCCGCCTAAAAGTAGCCCAATATCACGCGTTGCCTGTTGTGTTGCGGGGAGCAGAGTGGACAATTTAGGTCATTGCCTTCGAATTCAAGATCCTCATCCTCGCCTACAAGGCCATTCACGGCCTCGCTCCCTCCTACCTCTCTGATCTACTATCCCCCTACCTACCCGCCTGTACCCTCCGTTCCTCTGGCTCCGGTCTCCTCCACATCCCCCGCCCCAACCGCCCTACCATCGGTGGCCGGGCCTTCAGCCTCTCAGCCCCGAGGCTCTGGAACTCTATCCCCCAGTGCCTTCGCCGCCTCCTCCCTTTCCTCCTTCAAGGCCGGTCTCAAGACCTTTCTCTTTGACCGAGCCTTCAGCTCCCCTCTCGACTCTCTACCCCCTCCTCACTCCCTCCCCCCTCCCTCACCCTGACCATTCCCCCTCCTCGCTCCCTCCTTCCCTCCCCTCACCCTCACCATTTCCCCCCAATGCTCGGGTCCTGACCCAACTGTCAACGCCTTGGGACGTCCTCCCGACGTGAAAGGCGCTCAATAAATGGAATCTTGTTGTTGTTGTTGAGACCGCGTAAAGGAAAGATCTTCGACTCTCTACCCCCTCCTCGCTCCCTCGCTCCCCTCCTCGCTCCCTCCCTTCCCTCTCCTCCTCGCTCCCTCCCTTCCCTCCCCTCCTCGCTCCCTCCTCGCTCCCTCCCCTCCCCCCCCCCCCCCCCCCCCCCCCCCCCCCCCCCCCCCCCCCCCCCCCCCCCCCCCCCCCCCCCCCCCCCTCGCTCCCTCCCTCCCCCCCCCCCCACCCCCCCAATGCTCGGGTCCCGACCCAAACTGTCCAGCGCCTTGGGACGTCCTCCCGACGTGAAAGACGCTCTGTAAATGAAATCTTGCTGTTTGTTGTTGTTGTTGTTGTTGTTCTGGGGACGGACGGGACTTCTTGTTAAGTTTGAATGAAAACTGTCACAATTAGGCAGCCGCCCATAACCGTTTCTTCACGCGCAGTAACAGTACAAACCCGCCCAATTGGGCGTGAAAACCGCCCAAATCTGGCAACATCTGCCATCAACCCTGTCGAAGGAGCAAAGCAACGGTCCTCCGCCTTCCCGTCGTGCCTTGCACCCCCCCCCCTCCCACTCCCTCCCTCCTGCAGGTTGCCGTGAATGAGTTGCGCGTGCGCATTGGGACCGGGAGGGCGGGTGCGTGCGTGCGTGCGTGATCATTCCCTTCCTCTCGCGAAGGGAGCCGTTCGGTTTGCGTGTTTACGTAAATCCATGCGTGCGTGCGTGCGTACGTACGTCGGAGGAGGAGGAGGAGAGAGAGCGCGCGAGTCGAGGCGAGCGCAGCACGTGAAGGAGGCGCAGGCTCGAGCCGGCGGCGTGTGTGAGGAGCGCGAGAGAGCGGCCCGGGCCCAGCCTGAGGCCCGAGTAACCACCATCTCCCCGAGAGCGTCAGAGACAGCACCAGACAGACAGCCGGACAGAGCCAGACAGCCATGCCGTCGGTCACGCTGCCAGCCAAGGAGAACGCGCTCTTCAAGCGGATCCTGGTGAGTGTCAGGTCTCGGGGAGGGCCGGGCGGCCAGGGAGAGGGACAGAGAGAGCTCTTACCTGGTACAAGCTACAACCCCCTCCCCTCTCCCTCCCCCCCGCAAATCTCCCGAACTCCCCCTACAGTTAGGCCCCGACCCCGGGCTCGGCTTCACCACACCCCGATCCCAACTAGTCCCCCCCCCTCCCCCCCACTCGAGGTCTACAGCTGTAGGCCCCGGGCTCAACCTCGGCCTTGGCTTCACTTCACACCCCAGACCCTCGCGCGCTTACACCGGTGGTGGTGGTGCTGGGGGTGGGTGGAGGGGTTGGGGTGTAAAAGTGTGGCTCGGCGGCGGCTTGTGAGTGAGTGAGTGAGCGGCCTCCCCTCCCCCCTCTCTTCTCACTCACACGCCGTGTCCCGCCCCTCTCTCCCGCACACATACACACACGCGCGCCGCCACTAACCAAGGCCGCAGCCTCGGCTTCTCCGGCCCTTTCCTGCGGCCGATGGGACGTGCCCTCACGCACACCCCCCACCCCCCCCCCCCGCCGCCCCTTGCGCCTCGGCGTCTCTCCGAGCGGGGCCCCTGGGACCGGGGAGGCTCTGGTTTCAACGGCCGCGGGTGGGAGAGAGGGGGAGAGGGAGGAGTTATATGGGGGCGGGGGGGTCAGGCCGCTTCCTCTGCAAGGCCGGGTCGCCAACACGTGAAAGGCCGGGAGCTGAGCTGCCGGAGCCCGCGGGGGCTTTGTTACTTGCAACAGCTTCACAAAAGCCTTCGCTCCTCTCACTCTCACCCCCACCCCCTTCCCCCCCCCCCCGTCTCCGGGCCCCGACACTGATTGCACTGCGCTTTGTTGCACTCGTTATTTTATACAAGTGTGTGTGTGTGTGCGTGTGTGTGCTGTGTTTTTTTCGCTTCTCTTTCTCTCTCTCCCTCTCTCCCCCCCTCTCTCTCTCTCCTCCTCTCTCTCTCTCTCCCCTCTCTCTCTCTCCCTCTCTCCCCTCTCTCTCTCTCCCTCTCTCCCCCTCTCTCTCTCTCCCTCTCTCCCCCTCTCTCTCTCTCTCTCTCTCTCCCTCCACCCTTCAGAAATATATTTTTTTCTTTCGCCCACAAGACGTAATCCGAGCGCGGATGAGAAACGTCGGGGTCTTCGTTGCAGTTGAAAAGAGTTTTTTTTTAAAGCACACACACACACAGAGAGAGAGAGAGAGAGAGAGAGAAAAAGAAAGAGAGTGGCTGCAGGATAAGTCACGTACACTTAGGCAATAGGCCTGAGTCACGACAATGTTCATTTTGGATTCAAATCTGTACATTTTTTTTAAAAGAAAAAGTCGTTCTGCCTATAGAAAAGATCAGATCTCGTCTTTCGGGTGGTGGTGAGGGAAAGGCAGAAACAGGTTCAGAAATTCACTTCCAAGGTTGAAAGAAAACCGGAGGAAAAATTTGTAGGCTGGACCGAATGCCTGACGTGAATGGCAAGTCAATGAGTCTGTGGAAAAGAAAAAATAATTCGAGGTCTGTGATTCTTAATCCGAATTGAAATGGCTGTGCGAGTCCCTTTTCAACGCTTGTTTTTTTAAAAAAAAAGTCCAAAATCTTAGCCGAAAACGTTCCCTCACCTTCCCTTCTTCTCCACCCACATTCATCAGATGCTGATTGATCTCGGGCACGCTTGCATTTTCTGTGTTTAGGTACTACAGTTAAATCTTGAGGAATGTTATCAAACTGTATTAACCTCACTGTACGATGATGAAGAATACACTTGTATTCATTCAAAGGATAATTTTTTGTACAATTGTACTGATTCGCAGAATCGTGTTGCATATTAGTTAATTGGTAGTAATTTGATATTTCCCAAACTGTCCATATAGTCTTAGCACAAAGCACTACATCCTTTTTGCTACACATTTAGGTTAAAACGTTTGAGGAGAAGAAACATGTGGTTGGTTATGTTATAGTCTGCTATTGACAGTCAACAGTAGTTGAAATTTAAAGAATGATGTTTTGTACTTTGATGGTAGGGTTGTGGGAACTCAAGGAACTGACCTGAATATGAGAAATGAATACAGTGCGTTGGACAATCTTAAATCTACTAATTTTAGGATTGACATTTCTCTACTTTGTCAGCTGGCAGTCTTTGATATTTGGCGACAGTTGTCATGTTTTTATTGCAGAAGTCATGCAATTACAATTTGGAAAAAATATCTTTGTAGAATGCAAATACCTGTAAAGTGATTTTTGTTCTGAAAACTAGCTTGAAGAACAATTGAACTCTGAGGAAACAAATTGATATCTTCACAGAAAAGTAATACTATACCGTGGTAAATATTTACATGTGTAATGTTCTGCACATTGTTTTAAAGTGACGTTTCAAAGTGTTGCTTCTTGATAAGTAGGGGTTGGTGCTCCATGTACTCAGAAAGAAGTTATTCAGCCAATGTTGATTCTTTGGTGGTGATAGCGTAGAGTAACACAACTACAAGTGGTTCACTAGGTACTTGTTGTGCTGTTGCGGCATTTTTTCACTGTTTGATTTCTAAACGGCATTTCTGCGGTAATGATTTTAGTATAAGGGTAATAATCTGTGTGTTTTATCAGTATGAAGTACTGATTTGTTTTATGCTCCTTGTCCAGCTACTCACATGGTCTCTGACTTGCAGGGTTGAAGGTATAGTGTAGAATCCTAATACATTTTATTGATCAGAGGTTGTAATAGTGCAAACTTGGATAGTGATTAATGCCTTTCTTGAAGTAATATTGTACATAAACGACTTGCACTTATATAGCGTCCTTCATACAGTGTAGCTCAACAGTTGTAGAGCCTGACTCAGGCAGAACTTAAAAAGGGGGAGGGAGGGAGCATGGCGGAGGGATTGAGGGAAAATGTTCCACCGTTTTGGGGGCTAGTGGCTGAAAGCACGGCCTCCAATGGTGGAGTGGAGGGTGCAAGGGACATGTAGGAGGCCAGTGCCAGTCGAGCGGAGGTGCCAGGTGGTGGATTGGGAAGTGAGGAGGTCGGAGAGATAGGGAGGTGCCGGGGGTGAATGGATTTGAATGAGGATGAACGAGTATGAGGATCTTGAAATTCATCCGTTTAGTGAAGGGGAGCCAATGGGCGCTATTCAAATGGAAATACTGACTGCTCTACCCTCTATCTTCTTTAAACTATTATATTAGCTTTATAAAATGCATAGATCTATTTGCAACATTCCCTTAACAGAATTCCCTTAACAGTATTCACAGTGCGCTGCCAAAGTATAACTGGCCTTTTTGTTCCTAGGAGGAGGTAATTCAATATTCTTGGTTACCACCTCAAATGGCCAGGATGAGTTCAGATATTCACCATGTGGGGAAATGTGTCACAGATTTCATTGGTAGTGTTGGTGTACTGCACCAACAAAACCAGTTATGCTTAAATTAGTTTAGTTACTGTGTGTGTGTGTCTTTTGGTAAAAAGATTTGTTTTTTAAAATAAATTTTATTGGAATTCCTTTCCTGAATTCTCTGTGCTGTTGCATTGACAGGTGCCACTTGAATCATTCTGTGATGTCAGTGTGTTAAAGGGACTATATTTGTCGATGCAGTGGAGAACCAATTATCTCCATTATTTGCGGCAGGCCTCGGTGTGGCAATTGGACATTCTTAATTTTGTTCTGCTTCACTCTTGTACTTTCTCTTTCTAACATTGTGCTGTACAAAAGTATGAATGTCTAAATACCAACAGCAAAAAATCAATTTGTATGAATGCTTGAAGTTACGCTTGAATTTACCAGGTTGTATGGCTAAATTGTGTCCCTAGTAACCTCACATGTGAGGAACAACTGAATTTTGTTTGAAGTTATCTCGCAACACTGGGGTGAATTCTACATTAGTGCCCAATATAAATAAGCGGAAGTGTGGATAGCCACAATTTTTCTGTACTTACTTTCACCTCTCTTACCTTCTAGGTATCTATTCATGATGGCGTATAGTTCAGCCGACATTCAATACTCACTAGTACCCCAGTGGGTATTATTCTTGTGAGTCCAGACATTGCCAACGGGCTGTGATCCCTGGATGAAAATAAATGTATTCCTTTCCTTAATGAGAAATTAGGTTAAATGCGTTTTGAAATCCCCCCACCCAACTTTTATTATATACTTTTATTCTATATATAGAATAATATATAGTACTTTTGAATACATAGTTGTGCCCAAACCAGACATGAAAAACCACGAGCCACCATCAGCGGGTTTCTGATGTTTCTGGAGATCCATCACAATGCTTACAAGTATCCAAACCTGATGGATTTCCACGTGTGTATGCAACCACGCCCTGTTTACCTAATCCTGGAGAGCGTTAGACATGGATTGCTGAAAGCCAAGGCTGGAGATCCCAGTGTTGGGATTTTGATTGAGTTTAACTAGCTAAACTGCATACCTTGAACTTTATCTAACAAGCTTCTTATCTTAGGGTTGACTTGATTCTAACATTCCGCTGTCAAGCACATCATCTTTTGACCAACCCAACCCCAAGGAGATCCTGCTTACAACCTCCTTCTCCCAAAGAGGGAGTGGATTTAGTGCCAATTTGCAGACTATTGATTTAGTCCTGTAAAACGGCATTGAAAGATGCTAATCCGCTATCCAAAACTTCAACACTTGCTGTCAAAAAACTAGAATCAGGGCACTGCGATATTTGTAGTTCATGGCAGCCATCTTTGTAGACTGTGGTTGCTTGAGCCTCCACATTGTTTTAGGTTGCGCTGCCTGGAATTGCCTGTCTATTGGGATTCCTGGTATCCGAATCAGCTGGACCTAAAACAAGTGGGCCTGTATCTTGAAATAGTTTTACTGATGGTGTTAGGTATGGATCCTGGTTTGGGGCCTTTCAAAGCTGCTTTATCGGGTAACTACTTAACTAAATTAATCTCTTGTAAAGTAGACCTTGGAAATTCATTCACAGAGTCGAAAACCATGGCCCTGGTAACCAAGGGGCATCTGGTGACATTTTCTAGCTAGAGTTAGGTGCTTTCA